ACAATCCTACGTTTCCCCTGTGATCTTCCTACGATCCAAAGGAGGGCTAAATGCCTATCTGTGAATCCCTTTCCATGAATGCCACTCTTAGGCTATTGAAACCATATCTCGTCTATTTTTAGTAGCTTACTCGCTCATACCTAGCACCTGTTTCTCATTGTTACACATAACTTGAATGCCAACCAACAACTTCTTGACCTAACTAGATGCCTATACTGGTACGTGCTTCTTTGTTAAATACTATCCCTCTAAGCTATTCCATGCCTTTGTGTGAAAGCATATTCCTTACTTATACCACGTATGCCTCTTTCTAGTCCTATTACATACACATATTACACCACATCTCCTTCCTCTCACAAATCAAAAAAATCCATCTCTTCTCCCACTCCGTCCGGGTTTTGCTTGACTTATCACGCATGCATACTTGAAATACTTTACTTAGCTTTCTAAACCGGTACTACTCAACCTATACCATTGCTTCTCCGCGAATACATACTTGCTTAGCTAACTACCTTAAGAAGTATTAATCACAAGCAAATGCCTAGCTAGCTAAAACAACCTATCTAGATGCATATCTCGATACCTGTTATTCCGGTCGGTGCTTCTTTCAAGGGACGACCTCTGCTCGTGGTTCATATCTTGCTAGCTCTGTCCCAAGCTCCTCTTTCTAGTAGCCCTACTAAACCTATGAGTTGACTCGTACATACTCACTTATTCTTTACTTATCTTATCTATGACTGCATATTCCTAGCATTGACCTATTCAACATGTCCCTATTGGCTAAACAATTGCCCTTGTAAAAACAACTATACCTGTCTCTGCCCGTGAAAACGAAAAAACAAATCAACTACGGCTCCCTCAACGTACTCACTTGTTGACCTATCCAGCTTATCCAACTACTTGACCTAAACCATATGGATATACCGGTACTACACCGTTACGCAAAAATGAACTCCTTTTTATAGTGGGCCTATGTCTTGTATCCGATACTTGGTTGTTCAAATCACACAACCCATACCTAACTCCTGTTTAGAAACATGTGCTTGGCTTCTTTTGAGGCTGAGAATCTGTACCCCATAAGTAAGTCACTCAGCTTTTTTAACCCGGCCTTTGAGGCGTCCCCGGTTATCCGGAAACTCAAATGTGATAAAATACTAGTCCCAGGAGGCTGGTACACATATTTATTACATCAGATAGTCTCAAAGTAGTAGTTCGAACGGAAGCGGGCACTTAAACCATGCCAAAATAAAAATACAGATGTATCCAAAGATCCACACAACACACGCTAATATCTAGCGATCCCATGCCACAGGCTAAGCTGGGTGCAGACACGACCTTACTCAAACGCAGCTTCCGGGCCTTCCTCTGTACAACAAAGCAAGGGTGAGTACAAGGTACTCAGCAAATCCAACATTACCCTACGGAAGGGGATAACAATATATGCATATGGATAAATCAAGGATATGGCTTGGTTTTATTTGCATAAAGCTATCTTTTTGACACATGCAGGGTTTCATTTTATAAATACATTTTTACAAAATACAACTATTTTCCATATATAAGAGTATTTCTGAAAAGAGGGTTTGTCACAATTTTAAGTGCTGCTGAACGCTATGTTCCCACAGCACATGGCCGCCAACCATTTATTTCCAAAATCACACTCAATCATGTTTTTACTCATCCCTACCCATCTACAGCCTGTTCGGCTGGTGCTGATACGATCGTGGATTATTACTGCTGGCTGGTTTGGTGTGAGAGAAAAATACTTTTCTAGCTAGAAATTTATGATCGTTTATGACCAAACGAACAGGCCGCTAGTTGTTGAAACCAAACCGTAACCCATCCAAGACCGTGGACACGGCTATCCATATAGATTTTACACTCTGCAAAGGTTGTACACTTTCACCACCAGTAGCATATTGTAACTTAACACCGTCGTGTAAGCATAGATCCAACAGAGCCATTACCCTCCATAGTACTAGCGCTCACCACGGGAACACTAAGGCCACATCATCATAATACAATAATTTACAGAGCTCATTATATTTCATACATACATCTCTTAGTGTCCCGTTGTACACCTGCCTCCAGGTAATTGCTATACCAACTAGGGGGATTTAGACTAAGCCTTGCCTCATACAAGGTCGAGTGGTTGTACGATAAAATGAGTTAGGCAAGATGAATCATCAACTCAGTCCTTAATCGAGACAAGACGGATATCTTCATGCTTAACCACAAAAGGTACAAGCCACAACACCACGGCATCCCACAAAAGGAACACCGATCCGCCCCATCTCTTGGGTAATCACCATCTAACTTGTTCATTACCCATTATACTTAACCAACATCACTTTGCCTCACAACTCACACCGTTTTATTTGAAATCATTATATTTGAGAAATCATAATAATAAATTTCCACGATGGGTAACAAAGTCCTAAGCATACTAAATAACGACATCGTAATATTTATTCCTAAGTTTGAGCAAGATGATAAAGTCAAACAATTCAAGAGTGGCCATTTAAATGGGTTTAGCTGAGCAGCAAAAATAAGTCGTACGTATAATCGTACATGCAATATTTAAATCGGCTTCTACGGGTTGTGTTTAGAAATAGAATCAATATGCATCAAAGGGGATTAGATTGGACTTGCCTCCGTCGGCGTCCTCGGTAAACTCCTGCTCGTAGTTCGGGTCCTCGGGGTCGAACTCGCGGTACTCGCCTCCGACGTCCTCGTTCTCCGGCTCGATCACTCAGTCAGCTAGAACGCGCAAACAAACACAATAAATAAATAAATTCAAATACGTTCTAGAAAATAAGAAAATGGTATGGATGGATAGGTCTTGATTTTAGATGATTTTAGGAAGAAGAATCGATGGGATCAGAGGTCGTACGAGGGAGATATGGCATTTACAAGGTGGGCTGTCAAATAAATTTCGAAAATAAAAAGGATGGCTTAGGGGCTAATTCATCACATGAAGTGACGATGGCATTAGCATTTGGACTTGTCGTAGTGGACTTCTGGGCTACAGCTTTTAATAGTGCTCGGGTTGGTCCAGAAAGTTAATAGGATGGAAGACCTGAGTGAGTCTTTTAATAGTGCGTTGATAGTTGCTGCCTAACTCACTATGGCGAAGTAATGGTTCTGCGGTGAAGCTTGCCAGTGTAGGGTACTGCACGCGTGCTACGCGGGCTTGCTCTGCGAGTGCTGTGTGCGTGCTCCGGGGATCAAGAAGGAGATGAATAGTGAGAGTTGGAATTAGAGAATATTCGGATAAGGAATAAATTAGAGCTCAATTGAGAATTAATTTTTGGAATGGTTTTGAAAATAGTTTTGAACTCGAATGATTTATTTATTTGTATTTTTGGGATGTTATGGCCTTAGATGCTTGCTTCAACCCATAGAGAGACTTGAGGAGCTTGCACACATAAGACAGACGAGTAGGGTCAATGAACCGGAGGGCTTGCTGCATATAAAGCTGCTCATCAAGGCATGTAGAAAAGCATTTTATATATAAAGTTGCTGAATTAATCAACTAGTAGAGATAGCCTGAGATAAGCCTGCTTAGAATATCTGCCCGAATGGTAAGCGGTTTGATAACGGGACTTAATTTATCATTAAAAGAAATTCCTATCTTATAAGTTGATGCGCCGCCCTTAGCAACCTTGTATCGCTCAATATCTCTATCCACATGTGTGTGTTTTTAGTTTCTAAACCCATTTTCAGCCAATTTGGGTTCCATGGGAAGGAGGCGCTACCCACATGAGAATTCACATATATGGTTGATGAAATACTGGATTCCTGGGCCCAATATAGTTGTTATGGTGTTTAATCTGTAGGAAAGTAGAGTTCGTGCACACTGTTATACAAGACAATATACTCTAACACACACTCTTGGTAATAAAAGGCAATCAACAATTTGTTGATATAACCTGTTCTTCCCACTGTGCAGAAACCGAAGGAGGGAAAACAATGGCAGGCTTTGTACCAGAACCCGCAAAAAGCTGTCTTCTTGGAACTGAATCCTTGTTACCATGACCAAACTCAGCCAGCTCTCTGAAAATTAGAAAAGGTAGCAATAATTAGTTGCCTATTCATATGGAAGCTATGTATATAATTCTCAGGAGCTCAACAAAGAATAACCTGATCTCATTAACCATCATAGCTCTTGTTATCACTTCTAACATGTCTTGAAGCAACAATACCACATTATCAAACTTTGAGGCATCTCTTTCTTTCTGCAGGTGACCAGCATAATGTTAGCATTACCTTCAATACATGAATTGATCATTTGTCTTAACAAGTTGAAATATTGAAATTGTCAAATAGGAGAATAGTTGAGTAAATGAGTAAAGTAGTAACATTGCATTACCAAGGTAGATACAAGCTCCACAAATTTATTGCAAAGAACCGGGATGGGAGTGCGCTCATTCTAAAATTGACAAGGAACGTATTCTTTGCAATATTAGCTTCTATTTCTTTTATTATAATACCAATAATCCTGTTTATGTTAATGAACAAACATGTCAAAAGAGGATCAACATAATCAACTGAACATGGAATTCAAAGATATATATATATATATATATATATATATATATATATATATATGCACCAACGGCCATGCAGTTCAAGAAGCCAACTAGCATGAAGGATAAAACACATATGCCTTCAGTACCATTGAGGTTACGTATGTAACAATAGCTAAAGCTTACTAACTACAAGCAGTCATAGTTTTCTTTACATTGTACATCTATGGTGGTGCTTGGCTGTCCGCTGTCCTTCTCCCTAGTTCATTTTGGAATAGCTAGTTCCTGAATATTGAAATAGTGAATATGTGCAACCACATGCAAATGTTGGATTCCATATTCTTAGTATTGGATTTGTAACCTTGTCTCAGTGGCTCACACATGCCTAATTATATATGGTCAGGTAGTGTAAAGCTCATATGTCACTTGGATCACCACCTCTAATCCCCCATTGATTCTTGATAGCGGGAGATGGTGAAATTGTTCTGGCTTGTGTGGACAGACTGGTCTTGGGCTGGGCTGCTGCGACTAACCTTTCGCCCAGAGTTGGCGGAGCTGAGGTTGGCTGGCTGGGTGGCACTTTTCGTCGACCCATTTGGGAAAGTTAGTGGTGCGTTGCATGGTCAATTTGGATTTGATCAACAACTTACCTTGACAATTCGCATTGATCAACTGACCTGGCAAAGAAAAGAGTCAAAATCTGGATCAAATCGGTGAAGAAACACGACTTGTCCCTATTGAAAGGAATAGGAGAGATAGAAAGTGCAGGGAAGTTGATTTATTAGTTTGGAGGATAAATAGATAGCCGTGAGAGTACTTTACTGGTTGAAAAATAGACTAGCATAAGGGATAGGCAAGGGTAAACTGGATAGCCAAGTTGAATGACTGAGAAGTAGAGGGCTAGCACGAGCCGTGACCATTGCCAAGAACGAGTGCATTCTATACCTAGCGATAGGTCAAGATCCTTTTTCCTATCTATTGAAGATGCAAAGAGAGATGTTCCTTCCTCTTCAAGTTGGAAGTGCAAGAAGAAATGCGGTAAAGTGGTAAATAGGAGTTCCATCTACCACGCACTCGCCCCACACTCCAGTTCAGCATCCATACTCAGCTAGGAGGAAGGTGCCGGGGACACTATGAACACACATGCACTTGGTTGACTTCACGTCCCGTCCGTCTCACAACCGGGTAAGATCAAATAAACAAAAAGCTTGCTTGCCCAATCCCTATTGAGAGGATTTCTTGAGCTTCCTTTTGTAGCTCCGCTCACAGGGACTTCTTTTCATCCGCAATGAAGCTTATACCACCACTTGGCCAGTAAGGCCTGATTCAAAAAAGACCAATCACCCCCTTCCCTACTTCAATGGAAAAGGGGGAATCACCCTTTCACAGCCACCCCTCCACTAAATTTATACCTATCCTTTCGCCTAAGATGATCACAAACGAAGACAGAGAATTGCATAGATAGGAGGAGGAAACGAACCAACCGGGGGGGGCCAAACAAATAAAAGGGAATGAGAGAAATGATCGGAACGATTGAGGAAAGAAAGAGAATGGCGGCCGCTTTCCTTTTGCCCAGGAGGCATCGTCAGGGACAGGCTTCGAGGGTTCTTCCATATTTAGATATAGAGATAGATGATGATAGAGATCTAGATCTTTCTATAGATAGGTTCTTTGAGAAATTTCTATTGAACCGCTTTCAAGATCTATGAACAAGAGAGAAAAATATATCCATGTAAAAAAAGAGTTGAATAGATAGGGCTGAGCCGATAGCAGGACTGGGTACGATGATGGGGCGAGAGAGGGAAAAAACATTCGGGATGGATCGGTGTAACACCCTAAAATTTGCCTCTTTTGAAAATAGGTATAAAATGATTTATTTCTGAATTTTGTGCTCATAAAATATAGGAAAATAAATTTTTTTCATTTAATTAAAATTCATCATAAGGTTTAGCAACATGTTTGTGCATACATGCCCTTGCATTTGATATATTTGATTGAGTGGTTTTGATTGAAAATTTAAAATGGTTAAAATTGCTTTTGCAAATGAAATTAAAAATGGCTTTGAAGAAAAAGAAAAGAAAGAAAAAGAGAATTTGAAAATAAAAGTATTTTTTTAAAGTTGTAAAATTTATTTTTGGGAACTTACCCAAAATTGTTCATTTTTATTTGAACTGAAAAATGTATTTTAAACCGTGTTCAAATTTGATTTGGTTCATATTTGAAATTGGATCTCAATTTGATTTGAGTTTGCATTTAAAATTGGTTTTGAGATTGGTTTAGAAATTGGAAAAGGAATTTTCTTCCTTCTCTCCCTATTTGGCCTGTTGGCCTAGTTCCAGCGCCGGCTGCCTCTCTCCGCGTGGCCCGCATCCAGCTCGGCCTTCCTCCCGTCGGCCCATCCCCTTCGGCTTGCACTCCTGCGGGCCGTTCTGCTCCTCCTGCTGGGGCCTGCGCCCCGCGCGTCCCTTCCCGCAGTGGCCCAGCAAAGCAACCACGCCTGCATGTTCTCCCACCGTCTCACTGACCACCCTGGCCCACCTGTCGAGGTCTCCTTCATCCTCTCGCGCGTAACCGAGCCGGACACCGCCGCCGTCCGACTCCGTCCCCGCCATGGGTCCTCGCGGAGGCGTGCCTCCCAAGTACCAGCGCCTCTTAAATACCGGATGCCCTGAGCCGCCGCCTCCATCCCAAGCTCCTGTGCTGCAGCCACCCTCGCCGAGCGGCTGCCTAGCCCTAGCGCCGCCGCCGTCGGGTCCAAGCAGCTGCACTACGTCATCGTCGATTCCTAGCTCTGGATTTTGGTCTCGGTGAGTTCGCTTTGAGTTTCTATCTCTCCCCGTGTCCTTGTTTCCCTCAGTAGTGTACTGTAGGTCGAGAACCGAGAACGCCGCCCTCTCCGACCATGGCGCCGCCGCGGACAGCTCGCCGCCGGCCACTTCCCCTCCCGAGCAATCCTGGCCGTCTGATTTTGATCCAACGACCGAGAATAGAAGTTACCCCTTCGCTGCGAGATTTACAAAAACCTCCTTATAAATATTTGAGGCTTAACCCGTAGTCCAAAACATCTTTCCCGATTATGTTTTCTTCTTTGGAAAGCGTACTTTCGTCGATTTAGATACAAAATACGTTTTCAGTTAATTACAGTTTTGCCACTATTTTCTTTAGGCCATAACTTCTCCGTTTTAACTCCGATTTGACCCATTCAACTTGCGTTAGGTTCGTAATTTCATAATCTACATTTTTATATCACTTTTAGATATTTTTAACTTTTAAAATTTGAGGTTAGATTTAATCTAACGTTTTAATAAAGGAAATCTTGTTTAATTCATATCTTCTACGTTTTAACTCCGTTTTAGTCCATTCAAGTTGCGTTGGATTCGTAATAACATAAACTATGCATTGGTAACAATATTTATCATATCATTATTTCTGAAATTTCATGGTTTAAATCATATCTTGAATAACAATTATGCAACTGAATTTTATAAATAAAATATGATTTGTTTCACTTTAGTTTTATAATTCAAATCTAAATTTGACTTAAATTATATTATCTATAAAATATCTTATATATGTTTTTATATAATTAAAACACATGAAGCTAATAGTTTTATATTTTCTCCTATGAGCAAATCTTTCGTAGATGTATCTTTTTCACCGTAGCTTCGATTAGCGTGCTTTTCACGACTGTGTGTTCGTAGCGATGCGTAGGATCGTATTTCAAACTCTTTCACTTATTTTTCTATGATTGGTGTACTGTTCTGATTTAGTTCTATTGTTTGCTTTGTGTATGATTGTACGGATGCTTGTGTGGTGCTTTATGATTACATCCAGTCGGTGAGATATACGTGGTGATCAAGAAGAAGAAGAAAAATGTTGAAGATTAAAGCTTACCGAAGGATCGGTGTTTTAAGGCAAGTATAGCATGGGATCATCCTTGTTGTTCTATACACCTTTAATCAGTTAATTCATATTGCATGTGTCTACCTTGTTGCCAATAAGGATATCATAGATAATTGATATCTTGTGCCTTGTTATCTATGGGGTATTGCATTGGATAGTATGACGCTAGTGCTCAATTAAAAATCATGATCTTGTAACTTGACTAATGGTATATGCAATAAACATTAAAGATATTTTTTTAGCAACATGGAACAAGGGGGCTAGAGTATTGGACTATTTTAAGGTGCTCTAGATTCCTCTCCCTAAGGACTTATCTGTAAGTGATTATCCGGGACTTACAGTACAGCTGTGAGGGCTACATGGCTTTGGCTTTAGCTAAGTATAAGGATCTTTTCTAGCTTGTTAGAGATTACCTTTATGGCATAAGAGGGGCTCCAGTTTGCATGATCTCGGCCTGCCAAGAGGGTGCACTTTGGTTTCTTTGTATTTTGTTAGTCACTCCTTGGAGAGGGGTTTATGCTTACTGATGGGGAAACCTTAGCGGCCCTAACTTGTTAGACGAACCTTTGAAAGGCTACATAGCGAACCCTGCCGACCTTCCTTGGTAGTGGGTCAAGAGGCTGATCACCTCGGGTGAAAGGGTAAATCACGACTCACAGTGAAAGTGTACAACATCTGCAGAGTGTAAAACTGGTATATTAGCCGTGCTCACGGTCATGAGTGGCCTTGGAACCCTTATGGAATAGATGATGAACACAGATGATACTGATGATAAAGATGCTCACTAATGATTACTGTTTATGCTATTCATTATTCATGTTTATCTGATCATGTGTTTACATGGGCTTGTGATAAACTTGTTGCTACTCAATTGCTAAAAGATGACTCATTAAAAGCTAATCGTAGTTAAACCAGTGTTAGCCTTTTGAGCCTCATGAACCCCATGTTATATTTGTTGAGTACAACATGTACTTACACTTGCTTTATTTTTCACATATTTGGATAAAAATCCTGGATGGGTACCAGATCGCTAAGGTTTAGAGGAATTAGGCTTATGATCAACCAGTCAGTTGTCCCTGTGGAATTAAAGTCTTCACCTGAAGATCGGAGTTGTCTTTTCGCTGTTTGCTATCTAAGGTTATATTCTTTATACTAAGTACGTTATATATTGAGCATTGTCTATTGATATTACCCTTATTTATGGCTATTTATGAGATTTAACTTCCTGGGCTCACATATGGTGTGTATCTGGTTTTGTCCTTAAAATCGGGTGCTACAATGGGGAAAAGTGACCTCCGGCTCAGCCCATGACTCCCTTTTCCTTCCCTTCGCATAGCTCACTCAAAATCCCCCTTTTTCCCAGAATGAATTCGCCTGACATGACGAATCATGCCCTCCTGTCTTTCTTTCTCATTGAATGAACCACTGCCTGGGACGTCCCTATGCCTATGAATTCAATGATTTAAGGGCCCCAGGAGGAAACTTTGGAAAGAAAGCCTACTGGTTGGTCTGGTTGCCCCCCCAGCAGTGCTCGGGCGGGCCTCGGTTCAATCTTGCCGATTCTACCTAGACATGGCTCAAAATGAAGGGGTAAGGCCAAGTGTTCTTAAAACTAAACTCTCAATGCACTTCGGAGCACAGTCTTCCATTCGGTCCTTTACGGACGATGAAAACCCCTTGGCTATACTCTACTCTTCGCCTCTGGCTGTTCTATTCTTTTCTTTCCTTTTGGCTCAGTGGAGCTGAGCTGGGTTCCATTACACTCTATAGGAAATGCATAGACAGTCCACATAGCAAACCAAGGCCCCTGCGTG